AGCGAGGCCGCGTCGCTCTTCGACCGGAACCCGGCTGCAAGGGCGATCAGAAGGAAAGACACGAGGCGCGTCATAGCGAATGGATTTGACATGGAACTAGATGTGGATACTCTAAACTGCGAGCCGCTCGTGGGGCATGCAGCTAGGGCGCCCGGCGAAACACAGGGACACCACGCAACAACGAAGAGGCGTTGCAACGGAGGGACCTCCCCAGCAACCAATCTCGTTTAGACCAGGCACAGGACGTCAGACTTTGGGCCCATTTTTGGTACAAGCAGCTTAGGGTTTGGGGCTTTTTTTGGGGGGCGCATACATTTCTCCGCTCAGCCGGGTGCATGTCCCAGTGGCCACCAGGCATCACCATCTGCGTGGAACGGCTGTGGTCCTATGTTTTGGGATACGGTCTAGGGCTCTGGGGCTCGTGTAGCGAAAGATCATGGCTGATTTTGGGCTTACCTCAGAAGCGGAGACTCCAGTTTCTCTTCCAAGTCAGAAAGGCAGGGGCAGGATTCATGGACTAGGGGTTTGGGCGTCGAACACCAAGAGCAGCGATGGAGTTACAATGAGATTATTGCCATCAAGTCTCGCTTAAGATGTGTGCGGCGGACATGGTATATTCGATGTGTCGCTATTTAGAAAGACGAAGGATGGGCAGCTTTTGGATCTACCGGTCCTTCTTTCCGTTTTGAACTCTAGTTCTAAACCCTAAACCCTACATGCAGGTGTGGAAAATGCTGCTTGAGGTTGCAGTATACCTGAAACTGCCAGAACCTACTTTGTGTCGGCCCTTATAACTTATGAAGCCTGGCAAAGAGTTTAAATTTGTAATGGGGACCATACAAAAATTGGGTTTTAGTGGCTCAACGTCCCTAAACTCTAAACCATAAACCCGCTGGGATTGGAAATCTACAGGATCCCAAAGCCCCAAGCCCTAAACCCAAGGATCAGTGGGGAAGAAAGGTCGCTGGCTCGAAGTTGTCGATAAGAGGGGTCTACGAGGGCGACTGAGGGTTTCTAGGGTTTAGGATTTGGGGTTTCTAGGAAGTTGTAATGTCGATGTTGGCTTTGGGGCTTTGAGCTTATATACAATGTGGAGGTTGGGGGATGCGACTCCTTTTCTTGCGAAATTCTTTTCTGCGGATTTTGATGACTTCGCCAAACGCTTGTTTAGGATTCTACACTTGCAAGTAATTAAGGCTCAGGGTTTTGGGTTGTTGCATGGGTTTGGAATTCAGGGGTTTAGGGTTTATAGGGCTTAAAAGTTTAGGATTTAGCGTTTAGGGTTTAGGGTTGAGGCCACAACCTTTCTCATCCTTCGCGCGTCCTGTGCAGCATTCTGCGGGGCACCGGATCGGCGCCCAACGAGCTCCTAGGTGGGCAAGAAGCAGCTACAGCCATACTTGGGTCAGAAGTACAGTCATACCTACATGAAGCTACCAAAACGGATAAGAACCGATGACTCTATGGCAAGGTGTATGACGAACCCACTGCACCCAAATGAAGTTGCACCAGGCTAAAGCCATTTAATTATTCATTGTTAGTTCCCTAGGTTAGAGTCCCTTTGAGGGTCGGTCCTTGATAATGGAGCCGTACTATGTTGGAGACCTAAAGGCGGACCCCAATCTGGAGCACTACCCAAATGAATTAGGCCGGAAGCCACCAAGCAGATCACCCAAAACCCAAAACCCAAAACCCTTAACCTTTAACCCCAAACCATCCTAAACCCTAAACCCCCAAACCGCAGATCGCGAGCTTTATCGCGTCAAACCTTCATCTTGGAAGTGCGGGCCAAAAGAGGTGTCCTAAGATAAATGCTGAAGGCAATACCAGTAGAGGGGGAGGCTACCATATACGGGGTCGGAAGACTTGCCCTTAATGTTGAGGTTCCTTAATTGTCATGATTATGGTTTAGGGTTTAGGGTTAGGGTTTAGGTTTTAGGGTTTAGGATATTATCCCAAAGTGTGCTTTCGGGTTTGTCGTCGGGTCTGTGGGGCTAGCCCGCATCCGTACGCGGTCCTCATTGCCGGGCATTGGGTTGGGTTTAGGATTTAGGGTTTGGGGTTTAACCCTAAACCCCTACACCCTAAACCCCTAAATCCTAAACCCTGAACCCTAAACCCTAAACCCGACTTAGTTTCGGGATTCAGGGTTCGGGGTTCGATCAGGGCTAGAATGAGTGGTAAGGATCGACGAGGCTTTAAGAAAGCTTTGGGGTTTCTATGGGGGGCCTGAGATACGTAGTCTTCTGAATTCGGGTCCTTTTGGGGTTCCTTTCTTATAAGAGTGCCGCACTATATCTGGGGATCTACAAAGGACCCGAATTCAGAGAACCCTAAACCCTAAACCCTAACCACCCATATCGTGTTTAGGCTTGCGGGTCAGGGTCTCGTGGCCTGGGGTTTAGGCTTACCGGAATCGAACGTCTTGGACAGTCGAACTGCGACACCATGACTACTTTAGGGTTTAGGGTTTAGGGGCTTAGGTATTCGATACACTGAAAATGAATGAGGTATGGCGGTTTACGGTGAACGATGACACCCTGAGCCATGAAAAAACAATAACACTTGAGACTCTGAAGCGTTGACCGAAGTCCTTAAGAACCCCAACTCCTCCGCTTGGCACTGATAGTTTAGGGTTTATGGTTTAGGGTTTAGGGTTTAGGGTTTAGGGTCTGATAGTGCCTTTTCGATATTTTTGAAATAGCTAGGGTTTAGGGTTTAGGGGCTCTCGTAAATCCTTGAAACCTACATCCCAATTCCTGCCCGTCGATGTCGAAGCACTGGACAGCGGTGCTCCATTCGCACTCATTAGCAGGAGACCTGCTTTGTGGTTGATGGCTCTGTAAGGATTCCAAACCGCGTCCACAAATACTCGGCAAAACAAACTGCAAGGGTCTTTCGAAATGAGTTCTACAACAATTTCCCAAGGGCCATCGGATAAGGATTTTATGAAGGTGGTGCGAGGCTATTAGAAGTATGCCCTCCACGTTTCTAGCTTTGAGGGGTTTTGAGGGGTTAGGTTCTTTAAGCAAACCAAAACACAACCGAAACGCAAACCTGTCTCCTCGTTGGGAGGGAGGTTGTCACTGAAGTATACTTGCATGCTTAATCCCGTTGCCAACTTCAGGGTGCAGGAGGCCTGCATCACATAAACCTCCCGTATGAGAAATCTTGTAAACAAACACCCGTCTATCGGGTGCTTCTCCCACCCTGGGTTTAGGGTTTAGGGTTTAGGGTCCCTAAACCCTAAACCCTAAACCCTAAACCCTAAACCCTAAACCCTAATACCGCGGCATTGAACCCCACAACCTAAAGCCTCAATCAAGCTACTCCCGGAAGCCAGCGCAGGATCCTGCCGGTTCTGAACGGTTTAGGGTTTAGGGGTTTATGCAGGGGTTTAGGGTTTAGGGGTTTAGGGGTTTAGGGGTTTAGGGGTTTATGCAGGGGTTTAGGGTTTAGGGGTTTAGGGGTTTAGGGGTTTAGGGTTTAGGATCCAAAATGTCTTTCTCGCCCAGGCCGCTCATGTCCTGTGTAAGGATCACAGGGAAGCTCGGGTTGCCTTGTCAGGCTTACCTTCCCGGACCCTCCTAAACCCTAAACCCTAAACCCTAAACCCTAAACCCTAAACCCTAAACCCTAAACCCTACTCCAGTGGCGCCACCTCATGGGTGGCAATGGCACCCGAGCATCCACCACCTGGGGCCTTCCTCATTAACCCCAAGGGTCCAAGTACCCAATAATCATATACTCTCCCAAATAGTAACCTATATAACTACTATCCGAAACCTAAGTATCTTATTATTGGGTCCTTTGGACCCTTAAAGGGATGGTGACCTCTTGATACCTATGATGGTGGCTCTTGATACCTGACTTGACGGTGGCGGACGTCTGGAAGCCCGACGGTTCCAATCCCCCTCTCCAGGTGGGTGGTTGTCGAAATTAGGGTCCCTTGTTGGGTCCTTATTATAATACGGCACCTATTATTTAGGGTACCCCAACAGGGACCATAATTTTGACAACCGCCCAGGTCGGAGATGTCTCTGGTTATTTCTACGGGGGCGCATGTCTGCGAAGATGCAGTTGGATCTTGGTTGTGGTTCTTCATAGGGCTGATTTGGGGTTTATGGTGCTACAGCATGTTACAGGGCTTGGAGGCTCCAGGTTTCATGATTTTAGGGCTGAGAGATCCATTCTCGACAAGTCTAGTGAAGAACCAGCTTAAGCAGCCCGAGAAGTTCTCTTCCCTAAACCCTAAACCCTGAACCCTAAACCCTAAACCCTAAACCCTAAACCCTAAACCCACCCCACCCCGCATGAGAAATCTTGCTGGGCTGGCTTCTGCGAGGCAGCGGCTGCGGCGAGAGCTCCGCCCAGGGACGGAAGGAGCCGGAGAGGCACCGGGCCGCATTGTCCGCATGGCTCAGCGCTACCCCAAAATAGGACCCTAATAAAGTACCCTTAATGATAGGATCCTTATTATAAGGACCCCAAAATAAGGTACCCCACCCAAGTGATACGAAGAAGCCCTGCATCATGCGAGCAGGCCCCGATAGTGTTTAATAGGGTATTCAGCTCATGCGCCTCGTCGCTAGATAAACCCTATAATCAAACCTAAACCCGAAACCCCCAAAGCCTAAACCCTCTGAGATGTCCAGACGTGGTAAGTCCTTCAGTGCCGAAGCTTTGTCTGCGAGAGCAGAAACTTCAATAAAAGAGCAGCCGTTCGAATAGCCTGTCTTACAGGTTTAATGTCTGCCTATAGTCTCCATCGTAGGTCCTTTTTTCGGTTTAACCCATTTCGTAGGTAGGAACCTATAAGGTAACCCCCCAAAGGCAATACAATGGAGATTATAGGTAGGATTTTGGGTTTTTGTCGGCGGAGGGTTTAGGGTTTAGGGTAGTGCTGCGGAGCCGTCTTATCTTGCTCCAGGCATGGAGCCTAACTTGCCAGAAGACAGTGCTACAATGAGACGTCGCGAATGTCTTGGCTTTTCAAGGCTTCAGTGGGCAACGCTGTACTTCCGCAAGAGGTCTGCAATCTGCGGGTAACCAAAGTCTTGTGCATGGTCCAAGGCAGTTTTGCCATCAGCATCGCGGGCCTGCGGTTGGGCTCCGGCTTTCAGCAAGGCCTCAACCACGTGCAAGTGACCTGCGAGAGCCGCCCAGATGAGGGCTGTGAAGCCTTCCTCATTGTGCACGTCCACTTGACATCCGGCTTTCAGCAAAGCCTCAACTGCTTTCACGCGGCCCATGCCTGCAGCAAACATGAGGGCTGTGAAACCATTCTCGTGTCGGGCCTCCAGCTGGGCTCCGGCCTCCACCAATGCCTCGACCACTTGCACATGATCGTTCTCAGCTGCGTACATGAGGGCTGTTTCGCCATCCTTATTGCGGGCCTCCAACTGAGCTCGGGCCTTCATCAAGGCCTCGACCACCTCGTAGTGGCCCTCTTTTGCGGCGAATAGTAAGGCTGTGAACCCATCCTCATCGCGGGCCTCCACCTCCGCACCGGCTTTCACCATGGCCTCAACTACCTCGTAGTGGCCCTCTTTTGCGGCGAGTGCAAGTCCTGTGTTGCCTTTCTCATTGCGGGCCTCCAGCTGCGCTCCGGCCATCAGCAAAGCCTCGACCACCTTCAAGCGACCGTGCAATGCAGCGACCATGAGGGCTGTGTCGCCATTGTCTTTGCGGTTCTCCAGCTGGGCTTTAACCTTCACCAAGCCCTCAACCACTTTCAGGTGGCCCGCTTCCGCAGCACATGTGAGGGCTGTTCTGCCAAATTCATCACGGGCCTCCAGCTGGGCTCCAGCCTTCACCAACGCCTCGACCACCTGCAAGAGGCCATGGTTTGCAGCGACGATGAGGGCTGTCTCGCCAGTCCTTCCGTGGGCCTCCACCTGGGCTCCAGCCTTCAACAACGCCTCGACCACCTTCAGGTCCAGGTCGCCGAGTCCTGCAGCATAGATGAGGGGGACGTTGCCGTCCTCATCGTGGGCTTCCAACCGGGCTCCTGCATGCAGCAACGTCTCGACCAGCTTCAGGTTCCCTTCGTATACAGCATAGAGGAGGGCTGTGTGGCCGAGCCGGTCCGGAGGGTTCGGATCAGCATTCTCTCGGAGGAGCTGCTCCACACGCCGTTGCTTTTCTGGGCCCTCGAGCTCCCTCCAAACCTCGACCTCCTGGGCCGTGCTCCGAAGCTTCAAGTCCAGCACACGTGCGTGCCTCATCAGCGCTGTTTTTTGACGCCAACCCTTCACGGCCATCATCAGCTTGTAAGCCAAGTTCACCTCCAGCTGAAGAGGGTTTTAAAAAACGAAGGTTGTTTCAAATCATGGATTTCACCCTGAACCTATACCCTAAACGTCCCTAAACCCTAAACCCTAAACCCTAAACCCTCTTTAAGTCAAGTTCACCTCCTTCTTGCTGAGCTCAGCAGCGGCCAAGGCCGCGAAACGAGGGCGCACGACCTGGCGGGGAGCTCGGGCTCCGGGGTTAAAAGTGTTCGGGGACGGTTTAGGGTTTTGGGTTTAGGGTTTTGGGCTTGGGGTTTTGGGTTTGGCGGTTTACCTAGGGTTTATGGTTTGGGTTTTTGGGCTTGGGGGTTTAGGGCTTAGGAGTTTAGGGGTTTAGGCTTATAGGGTCTCGGGTTTTGGGTTGGGGGTTTCGGGCTTGGGGTTTCCTGGGCTTTTCCACTTAAGTGTTCTCACATTGGTGGGAAAGCGTATTTCATGGTATACAGGCCCTCTGCCGCCCCCTAAACCCTACAAGAAATAAGCAGAATCCGCAAAGCAAACAAACAAATAAAACAACAACAAAAAGGACCAAGCCAAACTACAGTAACACAAAACAAGCTTTAGTTTTGCACTGGTCTGAATCATTCCGACGAGGCAGGAAATGATTTTGTTCCTGTTTTGGTTTTGTTTTTAGATATCTGATTTGATGTTATTGACGTATGTGTTGCTTTGCTTGGTTCTTGTGGTGTCAGTGCTTTGTTGGCCGTCGCTGCTCGAAATCATTCGCAGGGAGGGTTACCTCGTGCGCCCATGGTAATTACTGCAACCACATAAAAAAGCGCATGGATTGGACAGTGTGTGTATGTATGTGCGTATGTGTAATGAAACGTAGGAATGCACGTGCTTGTGCAGTCATGTGAGCATGGAATATATGCATATGTGCATAGCATAGTGCTACATCTTTGTCAGTAAGAGAATCGAGTTCTCTCTCTCTCTATATATATATATATACACTACATTGTGCAACACATGCAAATTTTCAAACACAGTATATATGTGTATATATATATATAACATCTGATAAATGAAAATATAACAGATAGATAGACAGCTAGATAGCTAGATACATAGATAGGTAGATAGATAGATAGATAGATAGATAGAAAGATAGATAGATAGACAATGAACAATATGATGTAATATAATACCATACAATGTATTGGCATATCATAAAACAAAGTATCATACATTCTGATACAGTATATTATCATAGGATATCATATAATATGTTATAACATCATAAAATATCATGGAATATAATATAATAGCCTACAACATATTACAATATCATATAACATGATAAAGTTTGATATAGTACATTATAATATCAAATATAATAGCTAGAATATAACATAATATCATACCATATAATGCCATGTAACATGAGATAAGATAAGATGGTAAAATATAACATGATAAAAAAGAGTGTATTCTGCAAAGGTATAAAGGCATGTGTATGTATATATATATATA